TAAGGGGGTCGTACGCTTCGTCATTTTGGCGGTTGTATGAGTTGACGATGTAGATGGGTCAAGGTGTCGGATTCGTCGAGACTTTGCGTGGGTTGCGCGAAAATGCTAAGCGAGTGTCCACGTGACGTCGGTACCGGAACAACCACCTCCGGGTCTGCCAACACGAGAGCATAGCATTCCATTTGCTTCTCGAAGCAACATGTATTGTCTTTACCGCTTTTACAACGAACGCTAATAGCATGTTAGAATATAGCAGTGATTTCTGTGCGCTGCATCACTGCCGAATCTCGAATTCTACTGATTCTGCCAAATCACCCCCACATCTTCACCACAAAAGGAGCAATGTTCACTCCCGCACAAAGAAATGTCAAAATGTTACATTCGGCGACCTAGAGATGGCTCCCACAGAAGCCGCCTGACGTCCGCTGTCGATTTTCTCAAAGACTTCATAGCTTCGGCAGCTATACTTCCGCATCAGCTACCTAGGACAACATGATGTCCCATTTACTCACCACAAACACAGGAGTCGATAAACGATGCGGCGCAGCTGCGCAAGATGCCCAAAGTCAGGTTCTTTATGGGAAGCGCCCGGCTGCCTGGATCCCGGATCAAGATGAAACTGAAACAGCTGACAAGCAGCCCCGGGCGCCAACAGACTGCTAAAACCGGAAATACTGCGATCCTGCGCGCTTATCGTCTGGCGATCAACAGATATGTATTGCTGAGCTCTATTTTGACGTACGGCTTCCAGGAGCAACAGCCTTTGCAGAGTTTGGGGCGCAACGGGTAGTTTGGGGCCATGTAGGCGGTGCAAATGTCCGTCTTGGACTTGATCTGGGCAGAATGTCAAGATGGTCGAGGATGTATATATCCTGCAGCTACAGCTTACCAGAGAGCAAAGACGGTTGTTTATCGAAACATATCTGAGCCTAATTCTTCCCATCTATCATCAATACCTTTCTATCCCCTAGTCTGCACATCATGGTCATCCATTACTTCAGACATGCAACACTTATCGCTGCTCTCCTTACATTCACCGTAGCCCAAGATGAGACCATCATACCCGATGATCTTCAGTCTGGCTTCCGACCAGACGGCGACGAAGTGCAAGTCTCATTCACAGGTGATGCAGTAAATGGCTTCAAGGATGGAACGGTGTTTGAGAAAGAAGGTTAGTTTTTCATCTCGATATCAGGCTGGAGATCTTACACCTATTCAGCGGTAGCAGAAGAGCCTACATTCGCCCTTGGTGACAGCAGTGGCATCTCTTCTAGCACGCTGTACACGATCATCATGGTCGACACTACGTGTCCAGACTCTCGAAGACTCCACTACGCCCGCGCAAACTTCAAGTACAACTTCGAAATCACCAACATCAATACTAGCTCTCCCGCTCTTCTTGACTACATCGCTCCGGGCTCTGTTGAAGAAAAGGGCGATAACCGGCAATATAGTTTCTTGATGTATACGAACCCCGGTAGGAAAGAAATCACGAATCTGCAATTGCCAGGAGATAACGAGGCCTTCGATGTTGCGCAATTTCAGAACGATAATGGATTGGCGGATGCTATGGCTGGGGTTGGTATGGTTGTGAAGCTTGGGGGTGAGGCCGACTGTACGGGCGGCAATGCAGAAGCGTTACCCAGTAACCTGCCTACACCGAGACATGCGAAAAGTACAGCAGTCGAAGTATCAACGACATTGAGTCCAGAGAACGCGACTGCGAGTGTTGTGCCCACACCCGCGCCAACATCGTCGAGAAGCCCAGCGAACTCGAATACCGCGTTACTAAGCGACCTTCCTTCTTCGGCAGCAGAGCCATCGGCAACTGTCTCAACGATCGTTTTGTCAAGTGCGGATGGGACAATTTCTTCAACAGCTACTACTGCGGCAGAGCAAACGGCAAATGCTGCCCCAGTAACGATACGCTGCCAAAAATGGGGCATGGCTTCCCTATTGGCCATCGTCAGCTTCATATTTGTATAGGCAGTAGGGAAGCATGCAGCAATGGAACAACATTGATATTAGTGTCCTTTCAGCAACCGCTTCGACGATATTCTTTTCATAAATTTACAGCGATTCTACAATGACCGACTTGGTCTCTTGACCAAGGTTTTAACACGCTCATAACATTCTTACGAATTACACTCTATATCCGTCTCGCTTTCTGTTTTCGACTGTGAATGAGCCCCCGCCTACAGGATGACCTGTCTTTCCAACTACTCCTTGACAGCCTCGGCGTAACTCTTGTCCAGCGACCCGTTCTTCTTGATCAGCTCCCCAACGACGAACGGTATGCAGTCTTTTGGACCATAGTATTTCAGATCAAACCTGTCCCATTCACCTGCATCCCTCAAGAATTCTGGCGTGTGCCTCTGAAGTTCGCATCCACCCATGAAGAACGGCCAGCCCAGGATTGTATACACGAGTTGCATGAACCGGGCAGCCACTCTGCCTTCGGTCCTCCAAGGATTGGCCACGTGCTCGCAGATCACCATCCGGCCGCCAGGCTTGAGAAGATTGTAGAGTCCCTTTATGGTTTGCTCGGGATGTGGAACACCACAAAGCACGCGAGTGCAGCAAATCTCATCAAACACACCATCTGACGCCAATCCACCTTTGCCACTGACATCCAGAATCCCGCTCTTATGCAATGCTGGGATTAGACTCTCAGGCTCCGCACCACAGAGCATAGCATGAAACTTGCTGCCGAAGCCCCTCTTCTCTGCGTTCTTTACTAGTCCCGGATGCAAGTCCTCAGCTGGCTCTGCCCCATAAATAGCAGTGATAAGATCCGAATTGAATCGCGAAAGCACTTCTCCAGATCCAGGACCTATATCGAGGACCACACCTTTGCATTGGCCCAAAAGAGAGAATGTAGGGCCTGGCATCTCGGCAGACATTGCTTGGCCATTGTTTTTCCAGAGGCGGGCGAAGCCTTTGAAACGGAGTTTGGTGAGATTGAAAAGAGTGAAAGGGCGCCAGTCGTAGAATACAACTTCAAATGCTGCCATGAAGAAATCTGAGTATGGATTAGTATGGACCCCCCCAAAAGACAATTATGGCACAGCCTACTATATGCTGCAATGCAAAGTAATATCGTGGGACGAAGAAGCGTTGGGATACGCTCGCCCAGCCATTCCGCCGATGTCATGATGCTCTTCTCTGTGTATCTCAAGTATTGGTTATAGGATGCTTCAGGAGTGGATCAGCAAGTCGGAATGACGAAGGAGATTTAATGACGGAAGTAGAGGAAAGGAAAGAAGAAAGAGAATCCAAGAAGGAACATGCTCAATCAGGCTCGAATGGAACGCTCGGGAACATTGGTTAGTCATGCAGGATCTAGCAGTCAATTCCGTTGGTGGGTTGATACGAGCAGGGACCTGTGTGACGTCGACGCGCTAGCAGCAGAGAGAGCCGAGGCGTGGATCATCAGATTGCGCATCGTGAGCTTGTGAAACCTGCAACGATCGACACGCTGGTACATCTACACTCACAATGGCTGAAGGAAAGCGAACACAATTTGCGTTGATCACAGGGTGAGTATTGCTGTCTGGCGCGACGGTAGGAGGCTTAGGAACTTCTTAGCTCTAACCGACGCGAACAGGTGCACGCCCGGCGGCATTGGACACTATCTCGCGTTAGAATTCGCCGAAAGAGGTGAGGATAGTGTTCGCCTCGACTCTCTGCGGCTGCTAAGTTATTTGTAGGCTTCCAAGTTCTAGGGTCCGTCCGCGATCCGTCCAAGTACACGTCTCCACACCCTAAGATCACCTATCTGCCCCTCGAACTCCCGCACAAGGAATCGATACGCGAATTGCACAGACGCGTCACCGAGATTACCGGAGGCAAGCTTGACGTATTGTACAACAATGCCGGACGTAACTACGTTATCCCAGCGCTGGACTACGACGAGGATGAGCTCCAGGAACTCTTCCAGGTAAACGTCTTCTCAGTAATGGAGATGTGCAGAACGTTTGCCCCACTCGTGGTGGAAGCAAAGGGCACTATCGTACAGACGGGATCATTAGCTGGTATCATGCCCTATGTTTGGGGTGCGCCATACAATGCTGCCAAAGCAGCACTGCACGCCTACTCGGATACATTACGTGTCGAGCTCGCTCCTCTCGGCGTGCGCGTTATCAACGTCGTGACTGGCGGCGTCAAATCGAATATCGCACGAACACACCGCACTCTGCCACCGGGCTCCTACATGCAACCGCTTGCTGCCGAATACGAGCGAAGACTGGTACATAGTCAGGAGTTGGGTATGGACACGAAGCAGTATGCAAGCAGCTGTGTAAAGCAAGTGCTCGCTGGCGATGGCATCTTCTCTAAGACAAGATGGATATGGGAGGGTAAGATGAGCTGGATTGTATGGTTCGCGTGGACATATCTCCCGACTTCGGTGCTTGATTACTACTTCACCGCAACATTCAATCTGAACAAGTTAAGGGGGACTGCAGGGCCGGATAAGAAGACTCGATGAGGGCATACAATTGCTTTAAGCGGTTACACCCCAGTCATAAAAATTAGAAATAGGCGTTTGACAACACAATACGCTACAAACGAGCAGGGCGTAAATGTAACCAGGCCTAAATTTCTCTGTCTAATGCTCACTGGACTTCGAATGTCCTTCGATCATGAAGTACAGACATGGCTGACTTCGATGTTGTTACAGTTGGCGTAGATACGTACAAGTCCAAAACTAGCGTTGCCAATTTCACACGTACCAGGTCTATCCGGCCTCGTAGCTGCAGTGCGCGCTACCTACAAGCCCACCCATCGTGTAACCTTACGTTGGTCGAACGGAAGTTCTGTTTGGGAGGTGTGTGTGAAGCAAGTAACGGATCTACCCCCAAACTTCTGGACACAAACGGCTTAGGCGAAGGCGTTGCGATCCCCCCGATCTCCACGTGCTCGCTTACTGGACGACAAAGCCCGCCAGTTGTGACGTAACATTTCCTGTCTACAACAACGAACGAGGATAAAACCACAAAATGCCAGATCAACTCGTAAACAGTCACTCGCCGCTGCTTGTGCTACCCGCTGAAATCCTTCTCCTCGTTTTTGATTGTTTCTTCGACGCACAGCAACCGCAAATTAGACTGGAATCTACTGAACGCTGCTACTACAACTACTCTGAGGCTTTTTCAACACTCAACGCTCTCGAACACACATGTCGCAGCCTGCGACCCATCGCGAAGGAAGTCCTTAACACAAAGTGTCTGTGGAAATTTCATAAGCCTATTGCAGCTTTTACAGAAGGTCATAGTATCCGACGAAAGGCCACGCACATTGAGATACTTAGAGATGCTTATTCATTTCCAAGACCAAGGGACGATTATCCATGGCGGCCACGAGAGGAGCTTGAGCAAGAATTAAATACGTGGGGTTACTGCCCCGTTGACGTAAAGACAGCGCTTAATGAAGACCCTGCTCAGTTGGAGCTTGCCTTCCTTGTTGCGAGTTCACCCGATCTACAGACCTTCATTATGGATGGCCATCACAATTTCTACGGTATTTCGAGTATTGATCAGCGTTACGAACTTCCGGTATGGCTTATCCCCATCATACAAGTTGCCCGGAAGACGCCACTTAACGGCATGGACCATTCATTCTACCGAAATCTGCAGACTCTCGACATAGAAATGCAGTTCAGTTTCGATACTAGCCTGGCCTATCTGTTCTTACTGCCGACGCTCCAAACGCTTCGTCTGAGTTGGATGGTTAGTCAGATTCCATTCGAGGACGAAGCAAATTGGCCAGTTAAGAGCAGATCATCGTCAGTTGCTTCGCTCACACTTGATGAAGCCGAAATCTCTGGTACTCTTATCAGACTTTTCATCACCTCCTGCAGAGAGCTATCATGCTTCAAGTACAGTAACGGGTCTGTGGAAGAAATGCCTCTGAGCTGCTCGGCAGAGATCATGTCTGGTCTTGCGCAGCAGCAAGACACGCTGCGTACTCTATATCTTGAACCTCATCAAAGGGGCGAATACGACTATGAAGGCATGACCCTCACGCGCATCGACGGCTTTCACAAACTGTATGCACTAGAGAGACTCTATACGCCGTTCTGGGCTCTCCTTGGGAAACCTCAATCAACGTACACGGGGGAAGGAAGTTGGCAGTACCCGCAAATGAGAGATGTGCTTCCACCCCGACTGCAAGAGCTATCGTTATACATATTACCGATCATGTTATCCCAAGAGTACAACGATGGCTACCTCAGCCTCTTCTCTAGTGTCTTACCTTCAGATACGAAAGATCTCTACCTAAAATGGGTCCACGTGGAATGCGAAAATGTGTTAGAGTGCGCACCGTTGCCCTTCGACTTTTGGAACATCAAGAATGTCTTCCTGGAACAAGGAGTTGATTTTGACTACATAATATGTGGCTATGAGCACCTCTAGGTATGTGAACATTACATCTTAATAACCATTTTAAATCGAGTATTGTTCTGGTGCGACGCAACATATGCCATGGCAAAACGTCGCAAACAGAATTGATCTCTACCAAACGTCAAGTGCAATTGCTGTCACTCATATTACTATCACTACCACGTACAGATTTTACATCAGAAGACAGTTGTATCGATACGGTCATTTCAAGCTTCATGAAGTACGGCCCAAAAGCTGTCAAAATGGCTCATCATCTTACATGCAATGAAAAGTCAATAGTGCCCAGGGTTCTATCTAGACTTGGCTACCCTGAAGATTGGATGAGCAGCGAGGAAGGCCGAAAGTATATGTTTACTTCCTGGGCTGTCCATCAACGAAATAACAGCCAACAATTTCGCCCTTCTTTTCTGATACACCACAACGCAAATCATGACGTCGTGACTCAAGACCCGCACTCTTCACTAACGGAATCCCGCTCCGACAATACCTCATCGGAAGCGATATCATCGCAGCCCAACCCCACGATACGATGCGCCACAATTGCCTCAGGTACATGAAACTTGTACCTCCGCCCGTCTTCCACCATCGCCGATGGAAAGCGCAGTACGTGCCGCATGTGCATTCTACGGGCCTTCGATGCAGCCCACTATCTTCACCAATTGCAGCCACCCAATCTATATAAATTGTAGATTGGCCCATTAGCGCGGTTCTTGCGGATCAGGTACCTATATCAGCCGGTTGTTATTGCACGTGAGGAAAACTTGACTTGGCGATCGGTGGAACGGCGAGACGGAGTATGCACGAAGTCGGGTGCTGTAAGAATCTTTCATGTGGGGCCAAGAGTAGGTACTGCGTGGATGGTACGTGGTAGATAGCACGCGGACGTTGAGGCGTTGAATCAGGGGCTGGGGTCATTGCTCAGCCTTTTGCTTTTGGTAGATGACTGGTGTAACCACGTCAAACCTGCCAGAGCAAATTATGAGATTGCACTTTGCTTTCTGTGTGTTTGGACAATCTCCGTGGCTCCCAGAGGTCATTACTTGCAAGTTTGATGTTAAAGTTGATGTAATTATGCCTAATGTTTTGCTATTATGCGCATGAGTACAAGGAAAAAAAACGCCCCTCCGTCTACCCAAGCACTTCTAAGACGAGCAAAAATGCCATATTAAACTCCATGTGTAAATGCGTAACGCTGATATGCTTGTCCAAAAAATCTCATACCTCATATCCGGATGCCTACCGGACTCGTCTCCCTCCTTTTGTTATTCCTTTTTCTAAAAGTCCCAAAGGGTGCCGAAAGCGTGCATACCTTCCTTAGCACACCCCTGCATCATCTCATCGTTGCCCTGGCTGTTACTCGTGATGAAGATGACTTCCGCGCCAAACCTTTTCCACGTATCTCTTAGTAGCTCCATTGTATCAGGGCGTCCACCTCTCTTCTTGCTGTCCCAGAGAATCATGCGCTCGGGCTCGATGTGCTTGTGAATGAGGCCTGTGACTGTAGGACCGAAAGTGCGCTCTTGATCGGAACCGATCCAGATGAGAAACCAGTTAGGTGATTGGATGCAAGTGGAGAGTGCAGCACCGATGCCAGTACCGGTGCATATGCGAATGCCGCGCTTGAACATTGCGGAAGCGTGACCTACGCCAGCTGCCTTCATGTTAGTAGATGTAGCTGTAATAAGAGTCAGGGAGAATGCATACCAAACTTAAGCTCTCGCGTCCAAACAGTCTTTGGTGGGTTGGCGACAAGGTTCTTTGTGAAGTCTCCTTGAACACCGCAGATCATGTAATGGTGGGTGGCATCGCGTCCCTCACTGATGATACCAAAGGCGTGGTACTCCATGATGGATGTGCGGCTGATTCGTCCTAAGAGACCTTGCTGCATGCCGCGCTCAAATTTGAGGACAGCGACTTTGGGTGAAGGGATCTCAACTTCGACTGATACCTCCCTAAGGGTAACCCATGGGATGAGGACACTTGGATACGTCAGCAGAAGAAACTGAACAACATGTAAGACTCCTTACAATATTGTCATGAAGACAGCGAACCAGAGCTCTTGTGCACTGAGTAGGCTGTGAGCGGTAGTCCTCCACTCGCCGCGCTTGATGTCGTAGGTATTGCCCATGATAACAAACACCCACGTCATCTAGAAGACATCAGTAAAAGTTCCGATGAAAGACCACAAAAGAGGTTACATACTGCGAGGCCTAGCCATCCAACAAATCGGTGGTGCTTCTCGAATACGTTGTGATAGGTGCTGACAAGGGCGTAAGTACGGTGCTACAAAGCTAGACATAGATCGGAGCTACTAACTTGCGCACCCAGGGAAAAGCACTCAACACCGAGACGATGATGAAAAAGTTGGTGATGATTCCGCTCGCAATCACGGCAGGATGTTGTACGGCACGATATCGAATGATGTCGACACACTTGTAGACGAGCCAGCTAATTCTCACGTCAATGCTGTTTCGATCCTGTCCAAGAATAGCGACTCACGCAGCACCAGACAACGCGCATCCAGAATGTATGCCTCCAACATGTTGTAGAACAGATGTCGCAGCGAGCTTGACGCATACAGGTGCCCACTATTGTGACTGGTCAGCAGACTTCAGGTTGAAGGGCAAGCAGGCACGTACTCCCAGCCCATATATGGCGACCAAGTATAAGAAGCGCATCCATAGTTCATTCCTCATCAGAATAGCACAAAGGAGATTGCCTAACACCAAAGCACCGAGGTGTTCCTCGGCGTACTCGAAGCGACCGCAGGCGGACAAGATGATTCCCGTGAGGTTGAGCAAGGTGACGAATGTGAAGAACTTTCTGTATGTGTTGAACCAAAGATCGAACAGGATCCATCGGCTGATTTTTGGCTTTTGAGGTTTCTCCCCAGCTGGCTTCTTCACGGTGGTGTCTAGTTCAGCGGCATCGGTAGGTTTTCGTCCTAATGGCAGAGACAATGACAGTTCCGGTACACTCGTGCATGGTGTTATGCCTTGGTGGACGGGAGAGGCGGGCAGTAACGATGCAACAATGTGTATCGGCTTTTTTTGCTCCATGTACACGAAGCCTGGTGCCGTCAACTCCAATGTACTATCGTACATGCCCTTTTCCGCATCGTCGAGCGAGTCAGCGCTGTTGCCGCCAGTAAGGGCGGTTCTCGATGTAGTTGACATGTCGTTGGTAGGCGATAACTGCACCAGGGTCCAGAGGTGTAGGCGCGAAAGACGGGAAGGCAGGGGTGATGGACGGGTGACTTCCGCAGAGGGTTGATAAACGATGTACGAGGGTTCAACGAAGAAAGATTGGTAATGAGCACAGGCTAGATTAGGAGCTCTCAAGAAGTACTTATTGAGGACACGGCCATGAGGCGCACTGTTGTGTCATCTGGCTCATCAATTCCTGCAACGACACCATCCCACAATTCATCTCTGGAGTATACGGTACCAATGTCCGTAAGCATCGAAGCCAGCGGTCCCGTCCAGACAGGTCTCAAGGCAAACCAGGTGGCAGTCGGCACATCCGCTCCGTGCTCAGCTCGTAAAGGATTAAAGGATTCCCCGTGGGGAGAGTAGGAAACCTGAGCCGCACCCTAGCCCTCAGTAGCTTACCTCCACATGATGGATCTGCGTCTCGGCAACTAATGCTTCCATGGCACTAAGCACGTTCTGTCGTGGAAAGACTGCCGTTAGGTACTGATTCATCCGGCGTCTGTCTTCCCGCGACCTGTGGGTATCTGTGTTCCAGCAAGAATCTTCTTGTGGCACTCTTAGTGGAGGCCCATGTCGGTAGTTTCTGCCCAACATTGGGTCAGCGAGACATCCCCACAGCCTCGATATCGATCTGGAGACACTTCTCGGCCGCGACGACGTCGTCATAACGCATCTGATATTACGGTCGTACAGATATGTCGGCAGGCTACGATCACGCGACTTGGTCGGGATATTGCAAGAATATACTACGAGGTCAATGCGGTGTTTTGGTGTGACGCCTGGAAGTGACCTTTGGGTAAAAAGACAGGGATATAGAAAGAAGCAATAATGTGGAAGCGTAATATCATTCGACTGCATCCGGTTGCATTAGCGAGGACGCGATAACGTCAGACGTGCCGAGGCGTCCATCGCGAAGTCACCCAATCTACCTAGGCTTAATCTCTAGTTCTTCACGTACAGATCGACGTATTCGTCGATGTCCATGTTATCGAGCGTCTTGCTGTCTTGCGCCAATGCGACAAGCTTGTCAACGTGTTGCGACGGGTAGTGCGGGCCGAGATGCCTCTTGTACTTGGCGAGGATTTCAGGCTTTGCTTCTTCACGTCGCAACCGGTGGCCAAGAGGAGCCTCAACAACCTCTTCTTCCAGCACGGTTCCATCCTTGAGTGTTACGGTCAGCGCGTTGGAGATGGTGCGCTTCTCAGGGTCGTGGTAGTCCTTGGTGAATTGCGGGTCCTCCACACAGCTAATGCGCTGTCGGAGAGACTCGACGAGTTCCGATGTAGCGGCTTCACTATCATCTGGGTAGTCAGTGGCTTCAAGGCGGTTGAACACGAACATGGTGGAGACCATGTACTACCATGATGTCAGCACGAGCAGGCAACTACGGTGGGTGAGACTTACTTGAACGCAGTGATCGCGGTCAGCAAAGTTCTCCATAGGCTTGAATTGCTTATCGATGATGCGAATGCAGGCCTCGTGCGTACGGTTCACGACACCCTCGATGTCTTTGGCGCTCTTGCCCATTGCTGCCAACTTCTTGTTGAGGCGTTGCGCAGCTTCGACGGCGGTCTGGGAGTGGAACTCAGCTGGACTCGATTAGCATACACGGCGGATTAAGATTGGCTTAAAGGGGCATTATTACCCGGATAAGAGACCTTGAAGAGAACGTTCTCCATGACATAGCTGCCATAACCTCTCTGGAACTGGAAGGGCTTGCCGCCAAAGTTGACGTCGTAGAAGCCCCAAGTGGGCGCTGAGAGAACAGTGGGAAGACCCTGCTCGCCCTTCATAACCTTC